CCCCCCCCCCCCCCCATCCCCTCCCCAGTGACCCGACCCACTCTGCAAAAGCTGAGCCCACGTGTGGCTTTGCAGCTCGTAATTGGATTCAGGCCTTAAGACGCCGCTCAGCGAATAGTTGAAGAAGGAAAACAGGCGGATTCTTCTGCTCTCGGACCTTTCACAACTTTTATTGACATTCCTCAAAGTGTCGCCCGAGTCTGGATATAAAGACGGGCTGACCTGTTGGTGACCTCCTCCCCGAGGTCACCAACATGCGAGCACATCGGTGTTCATATTTAATATTCTAACTGCTTCAGGCTTAGCATAAACACCGAGGTGGAGGAGAATAGATGCATCTCACTCATCAGCCTTAAAGTTTTACACCCGACAGTCGCGCGAGAGAGAGAATTCAGACAGAAGTGTCTCCTTGGAAACGATGCACCGTGAAAAGGTTGGAGAGAATGCATTCTGCAGGACACACACACCGACACCAGGGGGCGCTGAGGGGGGCCGTCTGCAGGATGCACCAGAACAGTGGATCGCTGGACCGGTACCAGTTACCTGCGGACCAGCAGGCTCAGCGCGCTGCGGCTCCTCACCAGCCGGACGGCCTCCTGCTCGTCGGCGGCCGCCACGCTGCCCCGCTCCACCTGAAGACACCACCACGACCGCGTCAGCGCCGTCACAGCACCACCGCCACAGCCCGTCATTTTGCACCTTTTGTCTTTTCTCTACATTTGATTTTTAACGTTTTAATGATTTGTCCGTATTTTCCTTGCACACGCATTTTGTTTTAATTGTCCGTTGCAGAAAGTGATGTTTTTAATGACGTATGCTTTTCTCTCTCTATTCTTTTACGTTTGCGCCTTATTTCATACGAGTCTCCTCCCTGAGGGGAGGGTTCATCCAGGTCAGCTACCTGAGAGCTCTTATTAAATATTAAATACTGTTCCTCTTGCAACCTGAGATGGGCTGCATTAAAGCTCCATGTTAGAGACACGAGCTCAACGCATAAAAACCACTAATCTAATCTAACGATTGAGACGCCGATGGACAGAATATGAACTATTAGATGTTCTTGATTCTCTATTTCTCACCTTTGTGGTGACCAGAGGCCCTCGGTGCTCCGTGCCCCCCCTCAGGGTGAAGCCCCAGGGGGCGTTGCCCCGGAGCAGCATCTGCACCACCTCTCCTTCCTCCGCCTTCCTGCTCTTCTGCTCCGAGCCTCTCCACACCTCCACCTTCCTCCACCACTTCATGCCTCCAGCAGAAACGACGCGCGGCGCAGCAGGAGGTCGGGAGGTGTAGACATGTTGAAGTACATCATGATACAACAATCAAGAGAACGACGCTGCACTGCGTTTTAATCAAGACTTGAAACCATGAATTAAAACACACAGTATTTTGTTTTTGCATTTTTGTGCTTTTAAGGATTAATAATCGGCTTGAAATCAGAAAACACATTTTATAAAGAAACTACCCTACAAGTCCAAATAAAAGTCACGTGACGTTTGGCTGATCGATGAAGCTGATCACGAATGAACACGAGGCAGCACCAACAACCATAAAGAGAGACGCCTCGAGCTCTCAACAACACACCTGTGCGCCTCCGACAGGTGAGGGCGCGCGCTCGATCTCCTCCTCCTCCGCAGAGCAACCGGGAGCTTCTCTCCTCCTCCGAGCCTTCAGAAGCAGCTGCTGTCCCCTCAGACGGTTCCGACGGTTCACCGCCGGGAAACGCGCACCACGTGCACGGGGAGTGCGCGCACGAACACACGCACGGACCAGCCACAATATGCACCCGGTCCACTGGGGGGCGGGAGCGCGCATCTGGGAGGGTTTGTCCACCGTCATTTAGTGGCGGAGAAGAGGAGGAAACGTATAAATATAAAGTATAAAGTAGCAGAAAGTCCAAACACTGAAGAAAAGAACAAGTTCCCGCAGTGCAAATGATCGAGACTCACATTGAACATGATTCATTTGGATCTAATTGATCACGAGGATCAACACGTGCATTCGTGACTCCAGCGGTGACGTCATGGCGCAGGAATGCAGGTGTGAGGTTTTAAGCGTCGAGCATCAGGTCACGCGACTCTTCGACCGGGAAGCTTCTCAGGTGAGTACGCGGCTCCTCTGCAGACCTCCGGCAGCGTCCGGCCCACTTAAGAATCACACAAGAGCCCGTCGATTAACATGTTTTCATTCGTTATTTATTGATTATTGATTTCTTGCAAATCTGGAACTTAAGTTTTGACTTGTTTACTCGTGTGAGTGAAGTTAGACACGCTGAGGAAAAAGGATCAAACAAGTGTTTTGTTAAAGAATCGACTTTAACTTTAATGTTTCCAAACATCACGGGATGCAGATAGAACGTCTGTAGAAAATAAAGTGTGTGTTTCTCATGATGGCGGTTGGAACGATCCCGCCGAACTGGTCTGACTGAAATGTAACTGGGCGCCTCCCTGTTTCCTTCTTCGGAGACACGACGAGCGACGCCGTCGACATGTTCAGCAACATCGACCCCAACAAACGTAAGACGCTTCACCTGCATGTTCATCATCTGGAAATGTGTCCACTCCCTGATTCTGATTGGTGCTCCCGCAGCCACACACCCCTGTGGCTACGACCTGGACCCCAGACCAGAGGACCAGGGGCCTCGCGGGGGCCGCGACCACGACCCCCGGTCCGGAGGCAAGTCCGACTGTGGCCCCGCTGGGGGTCGCCGTGACGACGATCGTCATGGAGAGGACGGGGAAGACTGCCGCCAAGGGGGTCGCCGTGACGACGACCGCCGTGGAGATGACGGTAAAGATGGCTGTGGAGGAGGTCGCCGTGACGACGGCCGCCGTGGAGATGACGGTAAAGACCGCCATGGAGGAGGTCGGCGTGACGACGATGGCAAAGACTGCAAAGGTGGGGGTCGCAACAGAGATGACGGCGACAGGCAGAGGCGCAGCAGCTCCGATTGCCATGGAAACCGCAAACAAAGCCCCCGTCGTCGCGACAGCAGCAGCGGAAGCGGAAGTGGGAGCGGCAGCGGCAGCGACGACGGGCACGGTGGCAGACGCATGAAACATCGCGGGCACAAGAAAGAGCACGGTCACGGCCACGGTCACGGTCGTGGTCACGGCCGTGGTCACGGTCATGGTCTAGAAGTGTCGAGAGGGAAATAAACACTTCTCACAACACACAAAGATGAAACACGTTGAAGGAAACTGATGTTGGTTCAAGCTGAGAAGGAGAAGTAGGTTCTAACTAACTCTTGTTCTGTTTCTAAGGACACACGGACTCGTCCCCCCTGTGACTCTCACCTGTAATCTGCCCTCACTGAAATAAAGCATCCTCACAAACGGACAAATGGTCGCTGTGTTCAAAGTGTGACATTAATTACAGGTTGAAGTGAGCCGAGCAGAACACACGGCGTTGCTCCTCACCCGTCTGCAGCCAACACCTCGGGCCGGGGGGGGGGAGGTGACAGGTGAGGGAGGTGACAGGTGAGGGAGGTATGACAGGCGCGACAGGTGGAGGAGGTGACAGGTGAGGGAGGTGACAGGTGGGGGAGGTGACAGGTGAGGGAGGTGACAGGTGGGGGAGGTGACAGGTGGAGGAGGAGGGGAGGGAGGTGACAGGTGGAGGAGGTGGTGAGGGAGGTGACAGGTGGAGGAGGAGGAGGGGGAGGTGACAGGTGGAGGAGGAGGGGAGGGAGGTGCAGCTCTGTCTCCATGCCCCCCCCCCTCCTTTCTGAGGAAATATACATAAAGGGTCTGATGTTTCTCATCAGATGAGATGATTTATTATTCATGAGTTTGTTGTTTGATTTACAGAAGGAATTCACAACTTTTAAAAACGCCGAATTACAGTTTCTCTTTCCAATGGAAGGTTCCACCTCCTGCTGCAGTTATTAACTAACAGGACGGTAAAGACAGAACCGATAAATATATTACGCTTTTAGTGAATATGAAATGTGTCTTCATAACACGAGCACAAGGTTCTCTGCCGTTGACCTTGGTCGACCTTTGAGCTGAACACACATCTCGTCCCTCATCCTCGGGTCGGTCACTTTAATAACATCACACATGCCGAAGGACAAGGACACATTTCTCACTGTGTGGTCGAGAAAGTTACTTTTTATTTACCGAATAACGCTGAGCATCAAACATCTCACACCAGGTCGGCTGCAACATTGGACAACGAGCCCAAACTCTGAGAGGATAACGAGACGTTGGAGACGCTGGTCTTAGTTTTCACGTGTAAGGCCACTCGGTGTCGTGGATCTGCTCCTCAGCAGAGCCGCAGCCACCACGTCCTCCGACAGCTTCTGGGCAAAATCCAGCACCTGCTGGGTGGCCGGAGGAAGGTCCGGAGGACATCCGACCGCTGGTGTCTCCTCTGGACATCCAGTGTCCTTCTGGTCCCTTAAAAAGACTTGTGTCTCTCCGTGCTGGTGTTTGTCCACGGCAGCGTCCTCCTGTCGGTCCCGGCAGCGTACGGACTCGGTACATCCCATCTCAGCGTCGGATCTCCTCCATCGCCGCAGGGAGAAGGACCCTCCAGAATAAAAGACCACGTCCTCCAAGAAGTGTTTTCCCCAAAACAAGCCCCCCCTCAGCCGCGGGTCTCTGTTTAACAACCAACAAGTGTGTAAAAGGTCACCTCGCCCAGTAAATAATAAACTATAAAGCACATAAACAGCCTGCACGCTTCTGCTTTCTGCTGAATTTCAACTTAACAACGATAGCCGAACTTTTCTTTACGAAAAGATGATTATAGATCTGACAAGAAGAAGAATACGATTGTTTCCAAGAGTCCAAAAGCTGCAAAGGTCCCGTGTTGAATATAATTGTATGAATGAGTTGTTGCAGGGTTGTTGATCCGGGTTTGTGCAGCAGGTGCACAGCTCCATCCAGCGTGGAGCTGAACCACTTAATCATTTATACAAGTTTAAAGTTTGATTTTTTATTTCTTGCTTTGAACTTTTTACATGTTACGGACGCTCTTGTCCATATTTTTCTCTTGTTGGACGACTTTACAAATTCAGAATTCCAGGACCGAACATCTAATGAGTTGAGGCTGACTGCTGATTCAAATAGATTAAATCTATTTTAAATGATTATAACAAGATCAGCAATAACATCTCCTGCTGGAAAGCGGCATCTTTGAATAAGTGATTAATAAAACTGCATCAGTCAAATAGACGTCTTCACTCCGGCTCCATCACTCGAACACGACAAGTCCTGCTACCTCTTTAAATCTGCCTTCTGATCACACAAGGATCCTCCTAGCAGCCAATCACAAGGTCCGAGGCCCGAGGACGGACTCATATCAGACAGCGACACTGCACCGACCTCCTCTTCTTCAGGATGCTCCTCTTCCTCTGGCTGGTCGTCTTCTCGGCGGACCTCTCCGTGGAGGCGAACCGGACCTCTGAGGCGCCGGCGGAGAGCGCGGAGCAGTGCTCTGCCTGCGACCTCCGGGAGCACAGCAAGCAGATGAGGCTCCACGGCGTCAAGTCCCAGATCCTCAGCATCCTGCGGCTGGAGCAGGCGCCCAACATCAGCCGGGACACGATCCGCCAGCTGCTCCCCAAAGCGCCTCCTCTCACGCAGCTGCTGGAGCAGTACGACCCGCGGGTGGAGGAGGAGGAGGAGGAGGCGCACGCCACCACAGAGACCATCATCACCATGGCCACCAAGCGTAACTGAGCACCAGCCGAAAGCGTTTACTTTGCTTCTTCTTTGCTCTGCGCCTCTTTTCATTGTCGTGCGTAAAAAAAAAAAAGCACAGGAGAAAAGGTCACCAAAATAAAGCGGGTTCAACCTCTGCGGATCACAAACATTTACACCAATTGTGAAACAGCGGATCATTTGACATTGTGGTGATTTCTTCCAGCTGATCCCGTGGCCCAGGCCGAGTGGTCCTCCTGCTGCCTCTTCAGCCTCAGCCCCAAGATCCAGCCCGAGAACATCCTGCGCGCTCAGCTGTGGGTTCACCTGCGAGCGGCCGACGTGGTCACCGCCGTCTCCCTGCAGATCTCACGCCTCCAGGCGGGGAAGGGGGGCAACAGCACCCGGGTCAGCGTCCCCCCCCGGAAGGTCGGCGCCGGCTCCTGGCAGAGCGTGGACATCGAGTCTCTGCTGCAGGCGTGGCTGCGTCAACCGGAGGCCAACTACGGGATCGAGATCAACGGCTACGCCGACGACGGCGAAGACCTGGCGGTGACCTCGGCCAGGCCCGGGGAGGCCGGACTGGTGAGTGCGCGGAACAGTCGACAATGGGAGCCCGCGGGGCCGAGGGGGCGTCGCTGGAGGTCCAATTCGCTGCTGCCTCGTCTGTGCCTTTCTCTGGGTACCTTCTCGGTTTCCTTCCAGGAACCCTTCATCGAGGTGAAGATCCTCGACGTTCCCAAAAGGTCCCGCCGGGACGCGGGTCTCAACTGCGACGAGGAGTCCGCGGAGACCCGCTGCTGCCGCTACCCGCTCACCGTGGACTTCGAGGAGTTCGGCTGGGACTGGATCATCGCCCCCAAGCGCTACCGGGCCAACTACTGCTCCGGGGAGTGCGAGTTCACGCACCGGCAGCAGTACCCGCACGCGCACCTGGTGAACAAGGCCAGCCCGCGAGGCCCGGCGGGGCCCTGCTGCACGCCCACCAAGATGTCGCCCATCAACATGCTCTACTTCAACCGCAAGGAGCAGATCATCTACGGGAAGATCCCGTCCATGGTGGTCGACCACTGCGGCTGCTCCTGAGCCCCCCGGGAGGCCTCGCTTCGACCCGTTCCCTTTTATCAATGAGATGAGCTTCGTCGCAGCAACGTCCCGTCTATGAAAGAGACGTCCAAAGTGTTCTAATTTAATCTGTGCTTTCATCCAATAGCAAAGATCGAGATCGCACCAGACCAAACATTACAGAAACAAGAGAACAGAGATCCCAGAGATCCAGAGTCTCTTGTGACAACGTGTCCTGAGATGAGCTTTGACCAAAGCGAACCCAGCAGGAAGTCTTCCCCCTCCCGCCTTTATTATGAAAAACATGAACCGCCTGACTCGGCCTTCTCTGTCCCGAAGCGTGTTTGTAAAGTCCTCGCTGTGATCTGTCCTTTAGACCAGTGGTCCCCAACCTTTTTTACCTCACGGACCGTTTTCCATGTCAGACAATATTTCGCGGACCGGTCGAGAAGGTCCGACTGGGAGGGGGGGCAGCAACTGCCGTGCCGTGTAAGAGGACAATTGTAAACGTGAAGAAAAACGCCTGGTGACGCGTGGGGAATCTGTCACAGGGACGAGCGCACATAATTAGGAAAAAATCCGGTCAATTTTCAAAATAAAACATTTTTCAGAAAAAAAATATGTATAAGCTTTCTGTGGTGCGGCCCGGTACCAAACGGCCCGGTGGTTGGGGACCACTGATTTAGACGGTTTAGTGACTGGCTGAGAGAGCTGTCAATCAAGGCACGTCTTATTGATACGCCCGTGAGTTCCTTCTGTAATCGAACACGGCTCGTTGCATCCTCTCCACGAGGCCTGAGGGCTGCAGCAATATCTCCATTTCTCTTGCCGTGCATGCACTACGTGTTTACAGGTTAACGAATACATTATCACCAACGGAACAGAAGTGTCTTCCTGAAACAGAATCCTGGTCCAAACTTGCGTTGTTGCAGCAGAACAGAACAGAACATCACTGAACCACTGGAGGTCAACTCTAATGACCTTTAGAGGGGGTTGAGTTGACTTCTAGTACGTGAGGACACGATCATTGTCCTCAGAAGTAGTCCGTGTGGCCGCCTCTAGTGGCCATTACCGGGACTGCACTTGAGGAAGGCATTTCAACCCTCTGTGCCGGTTTATACCTTAATGTTGCCTTTAAGGAGAAATACTGCAGCTTAGCATGGCTCCAAACGCAAACTATGACCCTAACTCTCCTTCCGTGCAGCAGGAACTGGAATTTATGTAGAGGCTGTTTCTTAGAATCGCCCCTGAATCCTCAGATAGTCGGAGACACTCAGCGAAGCTTTGGATCCATCTGCCGATTGTAATGTGAGTCCAGGAACTGTGATCTCAGAGGGAGGTTTGAGTGCAGATGTCCTGGGTTTTGTTGTGCATCACGGGGGGGTTCTGACCCAACAGTCTTTGTTTTGCTGTTGGAACAGAAGGGACACAGTTGAATTTCCAACATATTGCATGCCCATTGGTCCTATCGTATTTGTATTGTTTCATCAGGCGTATCGTCTACAAAAGTGAGTTTTCTTTATATGAGGCAAATTTATCCACTTGAGAAAATGAAACGAAGCAGAATATTCCACTTAATGATAATGCACATGTGGACTGAATGTATCGGAAATGGTCAACGGTTGTAAAGTGTACGCAGCTCTAGACACAAAGACGGTGTTTCATCTCACTGAGTGTTTTAGTGAAATCAGCCGTAATCCGTTTGAAGATGACCATCATACAGCTATACATACATGGTATTAATTAAACCTGAATGTGTATCGTTTCCAGGTTGCGTCAGTGAGAACTTTTATGACAACTGTGTGTTATATAGATGCATCTAATGAGACATGTTCTCCTCGTGGTTCGTGCTTTCTGTATATAATTAAGCATTAATGTACTACAAATACTGTTTGAACACCCACATCTGCATATAACTTGTCAATTGAAGTATTATTGCTCATATATACAGTAATGTGTTTATATATATATATATATATATATATATATATATATATATAACACATCTTATCATGTGTTGTGAGCAAACTAGTTCTGAACTCGTAGTTCTGATTATTGAATAACTTGTGCCACTAAAACAAACATTCATATTTTTCCCACAACTTTAAAAGGAGAATTCAAACATTTTCAGTGTCTTAATGTCATAGAAAGATAACACAATTTTCCCCCCAAGGAAGATTTTTATAATTGTTCATTGTCAAATTGCAGTATTATTTTGTGTCTTGACGTAGATTATTACTATTGCTAGTAGTACTTCGGTGTAAGTAGTATTTTTATTACGGCCCAATCGAACATGTATCTGTAGAAAAGGTGTGCAGTAGTATTTTTTCAATGTCATATTTTCCAATCCTGTATATAAGGAATATTTTTGTAACTATTCGGACAAAGTAGTAGGTTGCAATTCTTTGTCATGACTTAGGTTTCAGTTTCTAAGTTACTTTCCCTTTCTCTGAAAACACGTGATCACTCTCGGCTCTTCTAGGCACTGGCGTTTCTCTTCCGGAAATAGAACTATTTTGCTTTTAAATATACAAATACTATGTTGTATGTAGTTATACACTCCCATTATGCATAAAAAATAAATAAACAATTGTTGTTTCATGATCGTGTGCTCCCAGTACTTAATCTACGCTGAAAACACTGTTTACCAGTGTTATTCTGGGGGGTTTGCGAACTGACGGAACAGCCGCTTTCCGTCGTTCTGATTGGTTGACATCTGCAAGTGGGCGGGGACATTTCACCAAGCGCTCGCCATTACTGACTGACGCTTCTTCCGTACAGCGGCAGAAACACTAGCAGCTTCCTACATTGTACATGGTCAAATACTGTCCACGTTTCCTCTGAAGAAAAGGTAAGTTTTAACAACCACTTCACGACGTCACAACTATTGAACTTAAATCGGCTAAAGGGTTCCGTCACTGCCCGTCGCCAGTGTTTTTAATGAATAAACTTGAATATGTAACTGACACCAGGCGAACCACACGTCGCCAGTGATAAATAACCCTTTGGATTACGCAATGCGTGTTGTGCTATGACGTGTGGTATTCACGCCAGTTTAGAAACAACGCGGAAAATGTACAATTTCTGCACGAAGTCCGGTTAGGTGTGTTCAGGGACGATCTATAAAGTGGGATGTTTCAGAAATAATGCTTGAACAAAGATATCGGATTTTCTCCCAAAGAAATCTTAGACGTCGCACTTTCCTAGACAGTGAATGCATCTTAATACTAAAAGGTGTAATGACACAGTAATAGTCAGCGCTTCTTCTGTAGGGAAACAACCTGTGTGCTCCCTGACCTTTGACCTCTGTTTAAAAGAACGCTGGGCGTTGGAGGAAACGCTAGTTGTTGCTATGGTAACACTGGGGGTCTGCAGGGACCGAATGACTGTCCCCTGTTAGTGCGTCGTTGAATAGTCTTTACCTGAACAAACGTGAGCGCGTGTTCCCCCGGAAGATGGCGCAGTGGCTCCAGCTGCAGAAGTTGGACTCCAAGTACCTGGAGCAGGTGGACCAGCTGTACGACGACTCGTTCCCGATGGACATCCGTCAGTACCTGAGCAGGTGGATCGAGAGCATCGACTGGTGAGCAGACGAGCACTCTTTGAATACAGCTTTGATACAATGCATCAATGAATCATGCAGATTCATCAATACATCATACTGAAAATATGCTCAGCAGCAGCTTTATTACAGCGACAGGTCAAAATGTAACCAAACGCCCCCCCCTCCCCTCCCCCCTCAGGGACACGGTGGCCGTTCAGGACTCCCTGGCCACCGTCCGGTTCCACGACCTTTTGGTTCAGCTGGACGACCAACACAGCCGCTTCGCCCTGGAGAACAACTTCCTGCTGCAGCACAACATCCGCAAGATCAGGAGGAACCTGCAGGTCTGGACCCCCCCGAGACCGTGCACCCTAGGAAGTGTGCTAGCTGTGATCTTTAAATCTAAACGTCTGTGCAGGATCGGTTCCAGGAGGATCCGGTCCACATGGCCATGATCATCTCCAGAAACCTGAAGGAGGAGAAGAAGATCCTGGAGAAGGTGAAGATCACAGAGGTAAATCTTCTTAGACTTTGTTTAAATTAATGTTTAAATCCATGTATAATATTTAGAGAAGTAAATTCCACGTTGAGCTCAAAGTGAACGCAGATTGACCCTCTTATTGTCTGCAGCAGGAGGCCCAAGGCACGGTGTCGGCCATGGTGGTGGAGAAGCAGAAGCTGGACAACAAAGTGAAGGACATGAAAGATCGAGTTCAGGTAGAAACGGCGTGGAGCAATAAGAGATTTGACGCCAAAACACGTTCACGTCAAAGCTCCCGCTCAAAGCTTCCTTCTTCTTCAGGTGGCGGATCAGAACATCAAGAACCTCGAAGAACTGCAGGACGAGTACGACTTCAAAGTCAACACCCTGAAGAGCAGAGGTGAGATCAAATTGTCCCGTTTAGTCAGAAAAGATGCGTCTCCGTGTTTAGTTAATTACCTTCAATTATCCAGTTTAAGTATTTTCATCTCTTTTAAATACCAGTAGCTCCACCTCTTCTTTCTGCTCCGTCAGCTGGTTTGTTTTTTATTTATTTAAAGAGACCCTCTAAAATACAGCCTCCACTCAGAAAGGTTTTATGATGCTCCCGTAGAGAACGAAGTGAACGGCATGACGCCGAAGGAGCTGGAGGAGGAGAAGATGATGGTCGGGAGGATGTGCCTCGAGCTGAAAGCCAAGCGACAGGTGAGCCTAACTGGAGGGGGAACCCAGGGATCTGTATAGACCACGAGTTAACTGGAGGGGGAAACCCAGGGCTCTGTATAGACCACGAGTCACCTGGAGGGGGAACCCAGGTCTCTGTATAGACCACAACTTACCTGGAGGAGGAACCCAGGTCTCTGTATAGACCACAACTTACCTGGAGGAGGAACCCAGGGCTCTGTATAGACCAAAACTTACCTGAAGGAGGAACCCAGGGCTCTGTATAGTCCACGTCTTACCTGAAGGAGGAACCCAGGGCTCTGTATAGACCACGACTTACCTGGAGGAGGAACACAGGGCTCTGTATAGACCACGACTTACCTGGAGGAGGAACCCAGGGCTCTGTATAGACCACGAGTTACCTGGAGGAGGAACCCAAGGCTCTGTATAGACCACGATTTACGGTACCTGGAGGAGGTGTTTTAAAGTAGCAGGAGGTCTCTTTTCTCAGGACGTGGTGATGCAGCTCACGGAGCTCCTCAACGTGGCCCAGGCGCTGCTGTCGGACCTGATCTCAGAGGAGCTGCCGGAGTGGAGGCAGCGGCAGCAGATCGCCTGCATCGGAGGTCCTCCCAACGCATGTGTGGACCAGCTACAGAACTGGTGAGAACCGTAAAAAACGTTAACTCATTTTACTCCTTCCTCTCCTCCTCCCTCATCTCGTTCCTCCTCCTCCTCCCGCAGGTTCACGTCGGTAGCAGAGAGTCTCCAGCAGGTCCGTCAGCACCTGAAGAAGCTGCAGGAGTTGGAGCAGAAGTTCACGTATGACAGCGACCCCATCACACAGAAGAAAGCTTACTTGGAGGCCCGAGCGTTGGACCTCCTCAAGAACCTCCTCAGCAAGTGAGGAACCTCCCACACAACAGTTATTGATTATCAATGAGGACCAACCATGAAACAGTGTCTAATAGTTCGTTATCAATACCAGCTCTCTGGTGGTGGAGAGACAGCCCTGCATGCCCACCCACCCACAGAGGCCCCTGGTGCTGAAAACCGGCGTCCAGTTCACCGTGAAGCTCCGGTAAGAAACCCCCACCCATCAGTGTGGTTGATTTCTATCATCCAAACCCAAAATACTTCTCCCTCCTCCTCTTCCTCTCCTCCTCAACATCTAATACTTTTGTCTGTGGGTCTGAGCATCAAAATGAATATTTATATTGTGTTCAGAACGTGTTTTGAAGTATGTTCTCTTCCTCCTCCACTTCCTCCACTTCCTCCCTCTTCTTTCCTTTCAGCTTCCTGGTGAAGATGCAGGAGTTTAACTACCAGCTCAAAGTCAAGGCCATGTTGGATAAGTAAGCTGCGTTCAGAAGTTCTTGTCACCTGATCTGAAAGATGTTCAACATGTTTGATTAATGAACGTTTTTGTGCTCCTCAGAGACGTGACGGAGAAGAAAGGGTAATTATCAGTACATATGTTACATCATTACATCATCAATGATTGAAATAAGTTGAGCTAATAGTTGCTGTTGTTTCCATCGCCAGGTTTAGGAAGTTTAATATTTTGGGGACAAACACCAAAGTTATGAACATGGAGGAGTCCAACGGGAGCCTGGCCGCCGAGTTCAGACACCTGGTGAGACTGGATCCAAACATGTGGACAGAGATGTTCTTTCACAACTTCTCTGACGTCTCTTGTTCTTCTCCGCGCAGCAACTGAAGGAGCAGAAAGTTGCCGGCAACAGAACAAACGAGGTGAAACTTTGAAAAGGAATAACAGCTCACGATAAAAAGAGGGGGGGGGGGGGGCGACCTCAAACATGAATGTGTGTGTGTCCCTTTCAGGGCCCGCTGATCGTCACAAAGGAGCTCCACTCGCTCAGCTTCGAGTCCGAACTGCAGCTCAACCAGTCGGGCCTGAACATCAAGCTGGAGGTGAGGACCCCGACCCACCCCCCACTCTGGGTTTGTGTGTCGGTTTGTTGTTGTTTACCTGTTGCCATTTTGTTTGTGCGTGCTCGTAGACCATCTCTCTGCCCGTGGTGGTCATCTCCAACGTGTGTCAGCTGCCCAGCGGCTGGGCCTCCATCCTGTGGTACAACATGCTGACCACCGAGCCCAAGGCGAGCGCACGCACACACGTGCACACGCACTCCAGTATCATGGGTTCACGTTTGACGTATAGTTGCTAAAGAAGTCGTCCGTCCCCCCCTCAGAACCTGAAGTTCTTCCTCAACCCCCCCACGGCCAAGTGGTCCCAGCTGTCCGAGGTCCTCAGCTGGCAGTTCTCCGCCGTCACCCAGCGAGGCCTCAACCAGGAGCAGCTCCACATGCTGGCCGACAAGCTGTTGGGTAGGAACCGGGGAACCTGGGGGTTTACACAGTGAGGGTGAGATGAAGCTCTAACATGTGTCTCTGCAGGAGCCAAAGCCCAGAAGAACCCGGAGGGGCAGATCCCCTGGGTCAAGTTCTGCAAGGTGACTCGTCATTGGAGATGAATCATGAAGGGTTATTATGGGGGGGTGGAGGTGGGGGGGGTCCAGCCTCTCTCCCGTCTCAAAGTGAAGGACATACTCACAATGTCAGATTTCTTCTTCTTCTTCTTCTTGTTGGGTCCAGCAGCAGAGCGCTAATGAGAAGGCCTTTCCCTTCTGGTTGTGGATCGAAGGGATCCTGGATCTGATCAAAAGACACCTGCTCTCTCTCTGGAACGACGGGTGAGTGAGTTCGGATCGTATGAGATGGATCACACCGCCATACTCCCATCGACGTGATGTAGTGAAGCATCCCCCCCTCCCCCCCCTCTCTGCAGCTCCATCATGGGCTTCCTCAGTAAGGGGCAGGAGAAGGCCCTGCTGAGCACCAAGTGTCCCGGGACCTTCCTGCTGCGCTTCAGCGAGAGCAGCCGGGAGGGGGCCATCACCTTCACCTGGGTGGAGCACGACGTGCACGGTGAGGGGTCGGAGGTCAATTTAGTTTAGTTTCATCTTCCCTGTTTAGTGTCAGAGGGTTAGATACGTTTTTAATAATAGATTCTATACAACGATTACTGTATATGTGTTGGTTAGTGAAGTTCAGAGGACAGATGAGGAACTGATCCTTTCAAAAGTTCAAGTGAATATCGTTCAACCAGACAAGCCGCTCTTCCACTCGGTGGAGCCGTACACCAAGAAGGAGCTGGGCGCCGTCTCGCTGCCCAACATCATCCGCACCTACAAGGTGATGGCGGCCGAGAACATCCCGGAGAACCCGCTGCGCTTCCTCTACCCCGACGTCCCCAAGGACAAGGCCTTCGGGAAGTACTGCCCCGAACCCTCGGAGGGTGAGTCGTGTGATCGAGACCCACCTTTCATAACTGGTTTCAGATTTAGAAGCACAATGTACCTGCATATTGACCCATTGGTGATGCCCCCCAGCTCCGGAGCCCATGGACGTGGAGAACGGCCCGGAGAAGAGCAGCTACATGAAGACGGTGCTCATATCCGTCTCAGAAGTGTAAGCCGCCACTTGTGATGAATCGCTCCATCCGACAGTTTCTATCGGTAAAAACCAGATTGAGTCAAAGACATTCGCGTCCCGTCTGTGCAGACACCCGTCCAAACTGCAGGACAACATGATGCCGATGTCCCCCGACGACTACAAGGCCCTGTGTCGTGACGTCGGCTCCGGGGACATCGACGCCGTGGTGAGTGAGCGCGGCGTTATTATGGGACGACCCATCTGATGCGCGGCGCTTAGCTGCGTTTGAGGCGCTCAGCTGTTGAGGTGCGCGTCTGCTTTTCTCCCCAGATGAGTGCAGACTTTTAGGACCAAAGCTGAGCGAGTGTCTCCAGTCCGGACTGTTCATACAGCTTTCTTCTTTCTGTCATGTCATGAGGTGAGACCTTGGATGCAGGTCAGCACAGCAACATTACCGGATGGATCAGATACGGCCTGGAAATTGAGAATAAACTTCGATAGATATTTAAGTTTTCATAATGAAAGTAATCCAGCTATTCCTGTTAAGCAATTTCAGGAAATATTAAACGCAGCCGTCCCCTCGTAGGCACAGCCAGTCCGAGTGGGGGATTAGACTCGACCTGTCGCTTTATTTCTGTACATATATATATAAATGTTATTAAATGTGATCCCCAGAAGGATGTGAATCTGCTTACTATCATGTCCTATTGGGAGCTGTGAGTTGAAATCTTGTTTTAAAAAGGACATGTATTGGAACTTTTCAACCCGAGCATGTTAATTCTTTAACCAACTGTATGGAAGCTGACGCCGTTAAACTACTTTGGGAGCGGATGTTTGTCAGCGTAATTGGACATTTTTCACCATCCGTGTAGCTGAGGCTGATATTTTAGTATTAAAACTCAGATTAATGTTTGTGTTACACAAAAAAGGTTATTTTTAAACAGGAAAAAGTTGATAAAATATTCAGTGGTTATCAATCAAAGCAATGTGTCTCTTTTTCCAAGTTCTCTTTTATACACTACGGGCAATTTGGGCACTTTTTCATGGTGATATACTACTTTTTTACACACTATGTTCTGACTTTTAGATATTCTAAATGTATATACACACGAATAGCTTACCAAAGAGTCATGGTATAGTGGGTTGTGAAAATAGCATCGTCATAGTCCGCCAAAAAAGCAGTAGAAAATGACATGGTAGTTTTACAACATGCTCTATTAAATAAAGTCATAGTAAAGTATGTAGAAACAGTTCAACAACACCGAGTTCAATACACAAATAAAATATACAATAGTAAAACATCACATTACTCATACTTCCGTCTGCTGAAATGGCGTCATTAAGCTCAGCAGAGACCACGTGGTGAAGGTAAGACGTTTGTGATTATTATTTGTACGTCACTTCCGGGTAGCGCTCATCAATGTGTAGCGTTCATTTCCTCCGATAATGACAAAAGAGAACTGTGACATTATCGATGTAACGGCGACACACACTTCTCACAGCAATGCGGACGGTTTACAGAGATACATTCGGTTGAATTAAACCGCGGGATGGTTCGACAATTCACCGGAAATGTGCCATCCGAACAGCCGTTAGCTTCCGATGCTAGCTAGCTAGCTAGCGGCGGAAGCAGCTAGCGCGTTCGGTTGTTTGTGTGTCCGTCCGTCCTCTGACTGACTCCAGAACTCACAACAAGCTCCAGTCGGTTCTCTTCATCCATCTCGTCCTCCACACGTTCATATGAGCTTATGACTTAATCACATTTTTCGTAACGAGTCGCGGCATTTCCTGGTTCCGGTTAGTTCACTGATCTTCTTCTTCTTCGGTGTTAGTTGGCGGCTCGTAGTCGTGATTTGAATACTCTCCTTTCTTCGTCATACATGTTGTAATCTAATAGAACATGTTAAGAGCAGCGTCTCCCGGTTGTTCGGTTTCGTAATAATTGTAAACAATTGAGAACTGACTATAATCCTCCGAGCTGTGAATATGCTTTTCGTGTATAAAATTCATAAACACTACAAAGTAAAAAACGTCCTTTTTGATTTTTATAACTTTTATTAAAGTATTGATCCGTGAATAAATATTTAATGAACGTACAAGAAGAAGAAACAGAAGAACAACACGTTACATTCAGAATACTGGAGTGGACCCTCAGGTCGGAATCAGCTCTCTGTCGCTCATTCAATTATACAATCAATACATCCGTATTGCTCTTCTTTCAATAAATATGGCAGTTGTCGTTTTTGCAATCGTTTTGTGCTCCTTTTAAATATTCATTTTTAACTGACAGAGCTGCAAATAACAACTTTAATCAAACTGGATGAACTGATCCCAACCAGAGGCTTTAAAAAGCACTACATTTGGATTTTGGATGGTTAGTATCATCGACACGTTGATTCCTTAGTTCTGTTTCTCTTTACAGAAACACTCAAAACATCTGCACAATCGTTCAAGTGGGACAGATTCTTCTGCACATGATAGATTCTTAAGACCACCCGTCTGCGTTTTAAAGCTCCTTGGGTTCAGTGTGTGTGTTTCAGACCCTGCCGAGTCCACAGCTGGTCCCTTCGTGTTAATACAAAAGCAACAGAACTCATGTGATACATCACAGTCAGAACAGACTTACAGAAACGTAGAATAAATAACTAACCACAAGTGGTGTTTACAGCGTGAAGCCGTCTACTCAACAAAGGTTTCAAAGACGTAACATCAGGGGGCAGAAGTTACATCCTCTGAAGAATGCATCCGATATTTTTTGTTAAAATCTACTTCATAAAGTTAAACAAAAGAGTAAACTACAATACCCAGAGAGCATTGCTGCAAGAAGGGATCTTTCAGAGAGCTAAAGTCTGAGTTACAATTACAGTAATAACGTGTTAATATATTGAATCACAACAGAACTCAAGTTGCTGTTTGTTTTCAAAAATAAAAACAAACTTAAGAGTAATTAAAGCTTCCGTCAGTGCGATACGTGATGTTTGGAAACTCTTCCAACTAACAACCTGAATTTTGGCCGACTTGCTCTTGTTACAAAAAATAAATATCAAATGAACTACGACAGCTTTTAGACAGCGAAACAAAAGCTCAGCGAACGTTGACCTTTAGGGGCGGAATAATTGACAGCGTAAATATATATTTCCAGAGTTTCAGTCAAATCTACGAAGCTCAGTCTCTCACAGAACCACAGCTTTACACATATTACACGTATGTACACCAACGTATCCTCACACACACACACACACTTTATCTTAAACAGATAAATAAACGTCACACATTAAGTTCGGGGGAAGATACATTCCACCATGTTGTGACGAGGAAGTAACAAGAGGCTGCTTCCTGTTTTCATCTTTTCAGAATAAAAACGACAAAAGTGAAACGTAAATAGAAAATAGTGCATCAACTTACCAGCCGCGGCTGAATTTACCCAGCATTCAACGTGGCGGCTGGTCGCCTCCTGTTACACGACTGGTGGCCAAACACAGAAGGAGAAACAAAACAACAGGAAGAACGCACACCGATATACCGTCTAATACTACGAAGGGGAGCTCTAATCCGCGGGGGGCGGGGCGTTCACGGTACGCGTTGCAGTCTGACTGTAGTGGAGGAGGACTTCCTCGCTGGCTCCCTCACAGCAGCCCGTCCAGGTTCTTCTCGGCGCTCTGCTTGTCCTCGGGGGTCTCCGGAGGGCTGTACTGGGTGTGGTAGTCCCGGAGGATGGTCACCACGTCGTGGTGGCCAAAGTGCACCGCCTCGTCCATCGGCGTGTTCCCCCACCTGCAGCCAGAGGGGGAGTTTGTGTGGATACGAAGCCACGTGGAGGCTCCTCTTTCATCAGCTTCAACGCTGAACGGCTGCAGGATGAACGCAGTTTTCTTTGAGACTTTTCCGTGTCTCGTCTCTTCGATCCAACAAACAACAAACCGTTTATGATCCTACGTGTCGCTACGCTGCGTTGATGTCGACTGCTTCCTGCCGCCATTATTTGTGAAGTCATGAAACTTGGAATAATACAGTGAAGTGTATAAATGTCAGAAAAGGATTCCAATGTAATACCTGTCTTTGGGAACTGGGTTTACTTTACAGGCCTCCAGCAGGAAGCGAACCACCTCCCCATGTCCTGAAACACACACACAGTCAGCTGCACAAACACACTGATCACATCCGTCCACACATCGTAGATGATGTCATCGCTTCACCTTCAGCAGCTGCCACGTGCAGGGCCGTCCTGGAGTCGTAGTCCCTCTGCTCCATGTCCATGGAGGACAACGCAAACCTGGAAGAGCGGCGTTCAAACAGAGGCTCAGGGAACCGCGCACGATAACATTCAGCACTCGGAAGGGTGGGGGTTACCTCCTCAGGGCCGAGACGTCTCCCGTGTAAGCAGCAAACAGCAGATTGATCACCGACTTCACCTGGAAGCAGCCGCGGGGCGGCACAGCAGAGCAGCGAGGAAGCAGGAAGCACCAGAGTCAGAAGGATTCTTTCTTTCCTTTACGTGTAAGAACGTTTCATTGCACATCATAATGAGACGTTTCAGACTGACAACAATCAGAAGAGGAGGGACAGAAGCTGAGGACTCACCCGCTGGTCTCCTCCCTCCCGACGAGGATCCAGCTTCTTAGCAAAGTGTCTCAGGTTGTCGTAGTTGTGGAAGTTACAGAGAGAAACCAGGTCCTGAAACAAGACACCAGAACACAAAGTGTTAGATGACATAACGAGAGAATGTGTCAGTTAACGTGTGATTCTGATCCCAGACCATCTTCCTCAGGTAGGATGGGGGGGCTTACGGTGCAGAACTGGATGCCTCTGACGCTGTTGCCCAGCTTGTCCAGCGGAGGAGACCAGCACATGATGCCCATCACGTTGGGGACCACCAGCAGGATCCCACCGGCCACCCCAGATTTAGCCGGCAGGCCGACCTGAAGAAGACGAAGAAGAAGGTGAGTCGACGGCGCCTGTTGTCCCACGGGAGGTGGGGGGCGGGGGGGCTGTGGTACCCACGTGGAAAGCGAACTGCCCGGAGAAGTCGTACATGCCGCAGGAGTGCATGAGACTCAGGGTGTCGCGCACCGACTCGGGGCTCAGCACGCGCTCCCCTGTGATTGGACAGAAGCCGCCGTTGGCCAGAGTGGCCGCCATGACGCTGGCGCTCTCGCAGGTCACCTCGATGGAGCACAACTAGATCACGGGATTTAGATCCAGGAAGATGTGTGATGTCAATAAACCAAGTGCAGTTTATTCATTATTATTGTTGATTTAAGCTCCATGTACCTGGAAGTAGAAGTCGAGGATGGCGGTCATGTCCGTCCCCTCTGGAAAACACTGAGGAAGAAACGACGACACTGTCTCACCCGGAGAAAAGACAAACAAAGAACCGAATGACATCATAATCTGACCTCACCTTCTTCTCCTTCAGGTAGTAGCCGATGGCAAAGTTTCTGTCTCCAGACTCTCGCTCCGACTGGAAGCTGGAGGGGACGGGGGACAAAGAGACAGACTCAGCGGTTTCTTCTCCTCACAGACCCCTCTGGTCTTTTCATCCATCGATGATCAATAAAACCTTTTCCACTCACGTGGCGTTGCTGAAGCCGACGTACTCGTTTCCCGCCAGTTTGTTCATGAAGTTCATGACCTGCAGAGCAGCAGATAATAAATACGTCCTCGTGGATTTAAGCATCGCTCCTTAATCCGGGTCTGAATAGTTGATATTTCAGCACATTCATACTCACATAATCAAACTTCTCGGCGTTGCTCGCCCCTTGCTGGAATACAAATAGAATCACAGTATTAAGATGTTATTTTACAATACTAACACCACGTCAGAGTATGATCCACTAGCTAGCTGCAGTGTGCTAAATGCCAACATCTGCATGAGAAACAGATGTTGCCTGAGTCTTTATTCTTTTATTATTACAATCGCCTGGATGGAAAATCACAGATGAGATGATACAGTTGATGCTTAATTCAACAAGCTACAGGACCGCTGCAGGTTTTTTAAATACGCGATTCGATTACACATACACTTGTTTTTCTATGTAGCTTACAGCTCGAGTACAGTTTATTAGTTATTAACTCCATATATATGCGTCTTTGCTGACTAAACCTGACCAATCTGAAGATAGAAATAAAACCAATAATAAAAAGAGGTCCTGCTCTACAGAAAAAGTAGTAGTGTGAGTCATAAAACAGCGATTGACCTGTTTGAGAAGAATAAAAGCCACATTCAAACATTCATGAGCAGCCATGTGAGGGATGAAAGCGTCGAGACAAATCCAGACACAAGAGGGTGAAATTACCAACGTCATTGACCTGCTGCAGGGCTCATCATTTCACAAAAACATACACATGAAAGCAGACAAAGAGCCTGGAAAAGGTAGATTGCAAATGCTTTAATGATTCCACCAACTCAGACTCAGAAGGGTTTTAATGTTTAACCAGCAGGAGGAGCAGTCGTGTCTTTGAGGATGTTTAATGAACCATCAGAAGAGCAGTTCCTCTATTTAATTGTTGAAACTCACTCAGAATATCTGAATGCTGTCAACTAAACCCCCCCCTCCTCCCCCAGCGTGAGTAGAGCAGTAATCTCACCGGATATACTAAACCGGCAGAGACACTTATTGTTTAAGTGTTATTGTTTTACTATTCATGCCGTTTGTCACCCGGCAGGACCTGTTTTAGTGTGTGAAGTCAGCTGACCTTGATGAGGGAGGTGCAGACGATGGCTCCAGCGTTCACCATGGGGTTGTGTGGTTTATCTGCAGGAGACAAAATAAAGCTAAAGACAAGTCTGAACGTCAAGGTCAAAGACTTTTACAGCTTTGTGAAAGCAAAGATCAGCTCAGATACTATAAGAAAATACAACCGGGAACATTTCCTAAAAGAGTGAAAATCGACATGGTCTCAATATCACAAAAAAATAGTGCAGCGATGCTCCCCTCCGGGGTTTAATCTGCTTATGCAACGGGACAACCTTGGAAACAAACATCTAAAAATAAACAGCTGGATTATAATCTGGCCTGTTAGATAACGACCAGAGGAAACCAACAATTTCAGGTCCAGTTCCTCGTTTCTCGCGCTCGTTAAAGACGCTGACGAGCAATAACTGGAGTCTCTGTTGCAGAGACACGCGGTTACTAAGTGACACTCGTCGTGTTACAGTATCCATGGCAACCGGGCCTCCGGAGATCGCCGCCTCCTCACCTTCCTCGTTGAGGAAGAGCTTGTTGAACCGCAGCCCGCTGGGCTCTTTGCCGATGAAGCGGTGCACGTACTCGGTGCCGTGGTCGTGCACGGCGATGGCGTATTTCAGCGGCTTCACGCACGACTGCAGACAGAAGGGGACCTTGGTGTCGCCCACGGTGTGCCTGAGGAGGCGGGGTTACAGAGGGTTAGTCTCACCGGGGAAGGCGGGCGTTAGAAGCGCGTGTGGGACATCCTGTGGAGCTCCCGCCTACCTCTGCCCGTCGACGGTGCACAGCGACACGGCCCACAGGTCCGGGCTGAAGCGGGCCAGCTGGGGGATGTAGTCTGCCACCTAGGTCACACAGGGGTCACACAGGAGTCACACAGGGGTCACGGCGAGGGTGACGCAAGCAGCCCCGACTGTGTGCGTCGGCAGCGCGCTCACCTGCCCCCCCGACATGCTTTTGGCGTTGACGTAGAGCTCGTCCATGTGGGCGCAGAAGGACTGGAAGTCTGGGATGACAAACTTCTTCCTGAAGGCCTGGGTGAGCAGAACGATGTTGCTCTGGACACACCTGAGACGCAGAGACGGGAAGGGTTAACCTGGTTCTTCTCCTGACCACCAGGAATCCTGGTCCACGCATTCACACGCCAGCTGTCATTGTGAGACATCTGCTCGTGCACTTCCTGTAATGACGAGCTGCCTCAGCGCCTTCATTCCCAGCATCAAAGCTTCTAATGAAGAACACGGGGAGAGAATAGACCCGTGTGTGTACAGCAGGAGCCTCACTCCACCAATCCTTCTCCCCCATGTTGTGCTGATCCTTCTGAGCGACTAAGCACAGTCAGTAAACACACATGACAAGCCGTGCTCACTGCATCAAACCCGTCTAATCTCTGAAGCGTGGGATCCCTGCGGAGGAAACACACGCTCCGCTCACGTGCTTCCCTCTTCTGTAAATGAGCCCGAAGAGGAGCGGATGTGATGGACGGCGGCCAGGAGCTGGTGACTGATTCGGTTCCCTAGTGAGCTCTCATATGCTCCAACCCTCACGCAAGCTGCCAGCCAGTTCTGTTTCCTGTGGGGGGGGGGGTGAGCAGCGGTGCTAGCGGTGCAGCAGCGCGTTGTTTAATCCACACACATCCTCGATGGGTTTGCAGCTCAGGGGTCTACAGACGCTCTCTGAATAGACGTAAAGAATGGCTCCCCGCGCTCACAGAGCCGTGACGTGGCCGTGAAAGGTCACGTACAGCCAGGAGAATCACGTCCATCTTAAAATGACCTCATCACCCGACGAATCTATGACTCATGCGTCCTCTACGAATCATGAACACAAACGTCACGTTGTTTCTATATTTCAATGCTTTTATTGAAGCTACTTTCTCAAGATTGTATGAATTGAGCCTCAAGAAGCCGCTGATGTGCAAACCGAGGAGGGATCAATAATTAATGACGAGCAGAGGGCTCCGGCCAGCATTAAACATTCTGAGGATCTGATGAAACATTCATGCTGAGGATGAAGGTGCAGCGAGATGTCGCTTCAAAACAGAGCTTAGAGCTGCAATGATAAATGTGCCAGGGCCCGATTAAATAAGGCTTGACGTATGAGCCTTTACACATTTAAAACTGATTGTAACACTGCAAGCAGCATGTAAAGTGTCTCTTTTTCGCAGTATTGCAAAATAAATGTAAAGAGGTGTGAGATCAACGTACTTTTTGAAGAGGTGTCGGTCCAGCGCTCCGTCAGAGGTCGTCTTCACGGTCATCTTCAGCATCTCCATACATTCCTTCAGCCGGGGGTCTCCTGTGCGAAGCCCTGTGCTCTTAAGAGCCTGCACAGGGCGGGGGGGGGGGCAGGATTAACACAGTCTGACAGCAAATCAATAAATCTATGCAGCGTGAACACAAGCTCACAACACCAGGGAGACAAATCCTCAAGGAAAGAACCCTCGTAGAGTAAAGACAAGAAGCAGGTTGACATTTTGAAGAGTATCTTGAGGGGACTTTAAACCTTCCAGAAGCTGGTCTCCTGAGGACTCACCGTGGTGAATTTGTGTGCAGGGATCTTCTCTTGGCCCTCTGCGATGGTGTAGAAGAGCAGGTCCTCCAGACTGGGCAGGATGCCTGCCTTCCTTCTCCTGCAGGAGAGAAAAGTACAAACACACCAGGCCGGACAGTGAGAACAGCTACGTCCTGTGGTGGAGGCGTGGAGGGAGGAGAGAGGAGAACATGACCTTACACTGACCTTAGTTCAGAATTAGAACCTGTGGAAAACACTGTTCCACAGCTAATGTGCTGCCATAAGGCCACTGTAAAGTAAACTGTTAATTATTAGGTACGAGTCAGAATACCAGCCGGGTGCAAGGACCTTGCTTCTTGTTCCATGTTGTTTGATTTGGGGAAGGTTGTGTCAGAGTAGTTCTCTGTCTACAGTGTGGGGGGGGGGGGGCAGTGTCAGAACACCTCAGCCCCATCAAAGCACAATGTGTGAACTGTGCTGACTTCACAGCTGGGAGGAGAAACGAGCATTTCACATCTTTATCAGCTAGCGCCATAGCTACTACTATAGCGAGTACCATAGCTATAGTATAGCTAGTACCGTAGCTAGTACTATAGCTTTGCAGCTAGTATTATGGCCCGGCTGGTATTCTCACAGCGAGTCGTCTCTGGGAGGAGAGTTAGTAGCGGCTCACAGCAGGCTCTCTGCTATGATTCATACTGACACAAAGATGGATTGGTGCAAAGCTTCGGGTGCTTTGTCCTGCAATGCATCATGGGACACTGGCCTGTGTGCTAGGAGAGTGTGTCTGAAGGTAAAGCTTTAGTCGTCGGGCCTTTGGGAGGTCGAGAGCAGCGGGTGTTTCCTCTGGATTGATTCCTCGGAGCTCGCTCACACGTGTCGTTTTTACAGAAATGCACAATCGATGTGGAGAAATTCTAAATGGAATCTCTTTGTGCCATAATTGAGCCGTTAAAACAGCTGTGGGATAATTCAGAGGAAACATTGGGACCAGTCCGGAGATCTAAATGGATTCCAATCAGATCCAGGAATCCTCAGTGAGCCGAGGTCACTTCCTGTGTTCCTCTTCTACTGGAGGTGGTGTTTCAGTCGGCTTCGGCTTCCTGACTTTGCAACCCGAGCGTGGACGCAGAATTATTATTAATTAGGAATTATTATTGCAGAGCACCGCTGTCTCCACCTTAAGGAACCTGGTCGAAGGGCGGAAGGAATACACATCAGAGAGTGAGGTGGGGGGGGTGTAGAGGTGAGGGGGGGGGGGGTAAAGCGCAGCCACTGGGAGGAAGTGAAGACGTGTCAGGGTGAAACTCTACTTCTACTGGAAGACATTTAAATAACACTTGAACTAAAATAAAAAATAGAAACATACTTACAAATGCAAAGCAAGCAGATCAACAAGAGGGAGAGTGTGCAGAGGGAATAATACTGAATTAGTTACAGTGGAAATGACATTCACAGCAGACCACCACCACGACAAGCACTTATGTAGTAACAACAAACTGAATGTAACACAAATATTCACATGAATACTGGCAAATTAACAAGAAAACAGCCGTTAATGAATGAAAAGCACAATGTCACTAAAACATTATTAGAGCTGCAGTCCCGTAGTCCCACGCGGATTATTCCCAGCGAGGAAAATATTTGGGTGAACTTTGAGTTGTTTCCCCTCAGCAGTCCACCGAAATCTGTTTCTGAGCCAATTTGAAAGAAGAGACTCCGTTATGGAGAGAGAGACAGCGGGATGTCAGAGGCTTTAGTCCTCGTGTCGCCTCAAGGAGGCTGTGAGAGAGCAGCACCACCTCTGGAACATCTGGCTCATTAATCCTCCTCAGCGCCTCCTGCTGCTTGTGTCTCCATTACAGTGAAGGGCAATCAATCAATAATCTACAATAATTGGCACTCAATAAAACAACACAATTCTCATGTGATCCATGAACAGTAGTGCTTTTCATCACTATCACCAATCTGCAGGTCTTGGACATTGAGTCGGAACTGGACACTTGAAGACGTTCCTGAGACTTCTATTTTTGCGCTGTTAAAAAAGGCAATTAATTTAATTTACATATTATACATTAGTATTAAAACGTGAAATTGCACAAAATAAATTGGGCGGATTTGGCATCAATCCAATGAATTGAAGACGGCCCGGTGAGAGCGTTAATAAATAAACAGAGATGTAACACGCTGCCTTTCGCTCTGGATTATTTCCCTGTGCTGTGTTCATGTGACCCGGAGCACCAGGAGAGGCGGCGCGGCACAAATCAATGTGTGTGTGTGTGACTCATCGGCTCCTGAAGGGCCCGGCCAGCGCCGGGCGGCGTGCCAGCATCCGGGCCGTGGAGAGATGAAGCCCGCCTGCATCACAGCGCCTTTAACCTCACGTGAGCCGGAGCTCCGCCCAAGGACGCGGTTACCCACGCCGATCTCAGCCGGGGCCCCGGGGCCCCACTTATTCCTGCGCTACAGACTTTAACCCCAGGTGTTATCTACTCATTCCCTTCTCCAAAACGAGTCTGTCAGACTTCACAGTGCTGTTCCAGGGTTACAGTTTCCTTATTTGATGTCTCAATACACTTAGAGTTATTATTCATTTAACATTTCAAATGTTTTACATTTATTTAATCATGATATATTTAATGTTCTAGTAGTTTAACATCACTTCTCTTCAGTTTTGTTGATCAGATAAACTCAACCTTCTCTTCTGCCGACTGGTGGAATCTTCTGTTCTGTGCAAATCACAACAAGCGTCACTGAAGCTGAGAATCAGCCTCCAGGGGAAAGAAGATGTTCTCCACCAGCTGACCAGCTCTAACAGCATAAACATGGCCGACAGATAAAGCTAATGATCCGTGGATGCAAAGCACAGGGGCAACGAGGCATTTTATTACCCTGTGTGGTAGCTGGTAAATCAGCTGCTTTGCCTGCTCGAGGCAAGAAGAACGAACTCTCATTTTAAGAGCAAAGCAAGCAAAACAACAACAGCTGTTATTGCACAATTGTGTTAATAGATTTCTGGTTTTAGTCACAATTATTAAAAGCATTGCGTATTTGCTTGGTGCAGTTGCTGCACTTTGCTGTTAAATGTTGTCTTAATCGATGTCAGTGGGGTTTAAGTTTAAGTGGATTCATGGAGGCTTCGTCTGCCTGTTACGGTGTTTTCATTAAAAGCTTTGAACCTGCGACCAATCGATCACCACGAGGACTCTCATCCTCGCCTTCGCTATCGGCACTCGGTCATATCTCCTGTTGAACAAAGTCAATTACAGCCAGATCAGATCACTGACGACGTGTCACACAATACAAGCCGATTATAAACGTTATTAAACCTCATATCATTTATTAGATATCAAATATTTTATTCCATCATAGAAGGAGAATCTCTCTGTTTATTTCTGACACAAAATGTGCCACCAGCGTGGTATTATGACCCTAATAATGAATGACTAACAGATCACAACTGTCATTTCCTCCATTGGACTCAGGGAGGACTGACCTCATCAGACTTGATGTGTCTGCATGGTGCTTTACGTTAAACTGAGATACACATTTAGTGTCAGCAGGAGCTCGCAGGTCATGATGGGATGGAACGTTGGATGGAGCAGGTCCCTAAATGCTGCTCGCTGTATCACAGCTTTCATTAGACACTAAACCTGAATCTTACGTTCACCGAAACGTTGCTCTGAAAAACATCATAATCTACAAAGAAAGGTCTGGCGTGTCCGTTAATGGAACTAGCCTCCGCTTAGCCCTCTGGCTAGCTCTCGCCGTGGAAACAGAGCGTAATTCAAGCTAGCTGGAGCCGCCAGGGCCGAACTCCATCATGAATATGTACTCTTCAAAATAGACCTCGCTTTTAAACGCAGGACACCAGATACAAATCACGACATTTGCCTATCGTGTGTTTTTAGAAGACATTCTTTAATGCGGCATTAACTGCGTGTGTAAATATAGACTTGGTCCATTAAAAGTGTGTCTTAACGGGATGGTTCAGGGAGATTACGCTGCTGTTAATTGGCGTTATTTTCCCACGACGTCCGGCCTACCCGCGGAGCTAGCGGCTAACATCTGGCTCAACGTCACTCACTTCTCCGCGGAGGACTCCTTGGCGGCTTCGTTCGGTCCGTCCCCCTTGGAGCAGAAGCCCCTCACGCCGAGCCTCCCGGCCGAGCGCCGCGGGGCTCCGAACCCTCCGCCCGGCCACCTCCCATCCGAGGCGCCGGTGGCGAAGGCGCAGGCGGCGGTGGCGGGCGTCGCTAGGATACCGACTCGCCCCGCCAACGGCCGTCTCAGCTGGGTGTGGAATAACTCCCGGAGCGCGACCGTTGACCGGAAGCTTAACATTTCAATACCCGGATGTGGTGAAGTCGAAGGGGGCAAAATAACAACTGGTTAGAGGCGCAGTGTTCCAGCGTCGGTCGGCTTTCCACGGCCGAGTAACGGTTTCTCCCGGTGACTTAACGGCAGGAAACGCTCCTCGCTGGAATTCAGCCCACCTTTCACCCAGCAGCACGTCTGATTGGAGCACGATAAGGAACGCGCGCACCTTATTGGTCGAGAGGGCTGTCAATCATTGGCAGTCAGCGTTGACCCATCATCTCCATCAGGTTGGCCATTTTCTATAGAACACATGAATATAAACATACTTTAATAGTGTTTTAAGAACAATTGCAATCTGTGTAACAGTTTAAACGAGAAATTCTACAAGCAAAGGGATCCCGTTTAAAGTTTAGACGGGAAACATAATAGCAACGGATTAAATTAAGTACTATAATATTATTTTAATTGAATGAAAGGGCAATGATGGAAATGATTACATAAAACGTGTAGGCAATAGTATATGTAAGACCTTTTTCTGAGCTTGTGTTATCTTATCGAACACCTCACGCACACTACTGCAGCTTCATATCATCAACATGTGATGACGTCACACATCGTGTCTGTGCGAGTTTTAATGTCAGAAAAAAATAAAGTGAAGTCAGCATCAATCCGCCCTGATCACCTGATGCGCGGTCGGTGTTTGTAAGACATATTGAGTTATTGCTCACATTCGGACAGTCGTGTCCTCGGGCGTCTCTTCTTAATAATAAAGTAACAGCGCCACCTGGTGGTCCCAAATAGTCACTATAAATCCACGCGCACGAGTAACAGGAATCAATAACAGCTAAAAAAAGAGGCCGTGATCATTTGGAACATATTGTTTCCCCCTCTGGATATATTTATAAATATGTATGCAGACCTTTTACCTTTAAATTGATAAATTGGGCGGTTATTTTTCACATGTCTTGCACGATCTTCCCTTTCATTGTCAGGGAAAATGCCTTTAATGTAGAGCGAGTATTCTTCTGTATAAGACCTGAGTCAGATGGCATTTTCGTGTTTGTTTGACCTCCCTCGCAATCTTTGTGGGTGGAGACACCACATATGAAACATTGACCTACACCAGATACTACGCACTGCAACTACTCTAAAAGTTGCTCCATATTGCTTGTCTTTAGCTACTAAGTATCTGACTTAGTTGGGAGCCGAGGTAAACTCCACCCACCTGGAGCTCAAAGAAGGATAAAACAAACTTCCTTCTGACTAATAATGCCTCCACGTTCTTGAAGTTGGACCCAAATGCACTGGCAGAAACTCAAACTACGTCTTCAGGTCAACATTAAAGGGGAACTCCAACGTCCATTTCTTGTTATTTTGTAAGAAGCCACAATTCTTTTATTTAAAAAATCCCTCTTCCTCTCTGCAGTTATTGAACGAGCTTCACCTCCTGGTTGTGCATGTGGAGCAACTCGCGAGGCTGCAGCATGTGGCCCATCAAGAAATGTGTCAAGACGAGTCATGTGTCTTACTTTTGTTAGTACTCATTATGTTTTGCATGTCTTGTTATTGCAGCAGAATCTAATCCCATCAAGTCAAATGTGTATGTTGGTGTAGCCATGTTGGTTTTTACTTTTTATGACCAGCGTGCTCAGTGTGCAGCTCCTCCTTGAGCACTAGTGAGCCGTTCCTCACCGTGACAAGGTGACCGGCACGGATCAAACTCACAGAACATCTCAAAGTTGAACCCCCCCTGGAAGGAAGGAGAAGGGAGACAAACGAGGCGATCCCTAACGAAGGCTGCAGGGAGGAGAGGCGATAATTCATCCACCCCCACGCCTCCTCGACCGCAGTCAGCTTCCTGCTCCTCACGGGGCGATGGGTGCGCTCGGCAGATCCCTCCCACGCCGCTTAGCGGCCGGCTTCCGCCCACCGCCCGTGGAGCCGCCCACCCACGGCCGTTGCCGCGGCAACACAACATCATCATCACCATCAGCGCCAGTGACTTGCACTGGCGGGGGTGGGGAGGTGGATCTGGGAGGGACAGGGAGGGAGGGAGGGTGGGGGGGGGCAACCAGCATGGGGGTTCATTCTCCAGAGAAAGTCTGTCTGCGTGCGTGTGTGTGTGTGTGTGTGTGTGCGTGTGAAGGGATGGAGGGAGTGGGGAGGTTCACGGGGAGGATGTGAGAAGGACTTGCGTCAGAGTGAGTCATCAGCCGGTTTCACAATGTGTCGATGTGACGCGGATGCAAATGGAGCTGCGCGGGGAATCTTCTCAACTACCACAAAGTGAAGAAGACTCCTCCTCTTCTTCACTTGGATCAGCAGCTTTTTACACACACACACACACACACCTGCTTCTCCAGCTTCCCTCATTGATCACAGAACGCACATCACAATAGAGTTAAAAAAAATAAAAGTTTAATGTTCATGTGCTGTATAACAAATAAAATATATTAGTGTTTAAAAAACAGGTGCATAACTAGGTGAAGCCTAATCTATCACGTTACAATAAACAGTGAGGAGATCGGGGGTCAGACGTGCGCTGTTCGTACCGCGGCCCATCTCCCAGAATGCACCAGCTGCTTTTCATCGTTCTCGTAAAAACAAAACAAATGAAGCGAGCGCCACGTTTTTTAAATACGGACACACAGAGATGGATCCACATGGACTCATTCCGTACATAAATATTGCCTCGGTCTGCCGCGACGCCGCGTGACACCAAAGATCATCATCGTGGACCAAACAGACGTATTTACACGGAAACACAGTGAACACTCATCGATGTAAATACCTGTAAACAGCAACAACACGTGTGAAATCTGCACTGATGACCATCAAACACTGTTAAGAGCTAAGGCTAATCAACATCATCATCTTCATCATGTAAAGCAGGCTTTTATACACCAGACACTTTCAATGACACTTAAATTGTTTTTTTTTGTATTTGCTCGACACACATAAACACTATCGACACCAACGATCTACAGCAAAGTTACATGTGACGCAGGGAAACCCTGCTGGAGAGATTAGGCGAGCACTACTTGTTATCACGCTACTATTTACACACTTTTCTGGGAGGATTGTTGAAGTCTTTTACATTGGATTCAGTCAAAAGTTCGCCTGTGGAGGAGATTCCAGACCCGGCGGGGAGCTCCTTGGCTCGTGCAAAGCATCTGCTCCTGAAATGCTCCCTTTGCAGATGTGAACGAGGCCTGTGGCCGCCGACAGAGGCCCCCCGCTGGGGCTGCTATGCATCCTCTTCTTCCTCACATAAATACACAGGAGACAGGAGCGAGGGAGGGGGGATCCACCGCCCCTCTCCCGCTTCGTCAGACACGACGTGAGCGACGCATGTCAGGTATCCGTTAGCTACGTGGAAGCCGTTTAAAGTGTTACCGCGGCGATGAAGACGGGGCAGCAGCTGCTCTTCGTCTCCTCTCCCAATCTGCACGTGAGTCACGGCTCGGCTCCGGCAACACGGCGCGCACGCCGGCCCGGGGTAGAGACAGGTAAAGAACAGGTGATCTAGGGACCCCGAGGCTCCGCCCACAAGCTGCCCAGGTGCTTCGGCAAAAAGACAAAATCAAAGAAAAATAAATGCTCTTCATGGGCACGCTTGCGTGTAGACGCCCTCCTGTGTCGGTCTTACTTATATCCATAAGACGAGCGGAAACCTGCATTCCCCTCACCTATGAGTCCAATGTTTTGGGGGCCGGGGGGGGGGAATTTCGGGGGGGCGGGGAGGCACTATGTTGCGTCTCCCGGCTCGGACTTGATGTTCTTCCTCTCGGTGCTGACGCTCGCTCGCTGCGACGTCCCGTTTTCTGGAGACAAGAGATAATTTACCGTCTCCCCTCGGGCAAGGCATTCGAACCCTCAGCCCCCCCCCCCACTGCCAAGAGGAGAGCATCTCTCACCTGTTGCTGGTGTTTTGGTGTCGTCTGCCGTGCTGCTGCTGCTGTTGTTGTTGTTGTTGTTGTTGTGGTGGTGGTGGCGCTTCAGCTCATTGGCTAGCTGCTTGCCCAATGGGAGGTCGCCTTCCTGCATGCTCTGACTCACCACGCGCAGGTTGATCGGCCGCTCGTCTGTGGGGGGGACGAGTTATACTATAGAATAAGAAATACTAATGAAAATCATAATGAAATAAATGAGAAATAAGTGGAAGCAAATGAGAGGAAGAAAACGGGAGAGAAAGCAGAGCAGAAGAGGGGGAGGAGAAAGAGAGAGAGAGAGAGAGGGGGAGAGAGACGCCCCCCTCCAGGCAACTGGCTGGAGGTAAACAGGCGTGGGCGTGATAATTACAGGTGCATTGTGGGATTTGTGGGAGCAGCGGTATAATGAGCTGTCGGGAGTGTGAGGGAGGAAAGGGATGAAGGGGAGATTAGGCCTGGAGGAGAAGACCCTGAAGAATGATGCATCGCTCTTCTTCTGTGGTGGAGGGACACCAGGCAGTGTTTGGGAGGAAAGACAATTCAAATGTGGAAAATGTACCAGAGACACGGGAGTCTCATCGGATTATCTTTCACTTATTCTCGTTTCATTACAGGGACACAGTTTAGTTTAGTCCGGTTCAAACTGATCCAGAATAAATTCTAATAATTCTCTGAAATGTCTCTTTTTATCCGGCAGGACGTCTTGCAAAACTGTAATAAAGGAATTAGGTGGAAACGCTTCAGGAACGTGTGTAGCTGTCTGTGATTTATTCCCCCCCCCCCACCTACCCTGGTGGTCCCTGCCGGCCTCGGCGGCCCCGTTGGTGCCCTGGGCCTCGTTGAGGTACTTCAGGGCGGCGGGGGGGATCCTCCAGTCCAGAGCCTGCAGGCGCTCCTGCACGGCGGCGTCCTGCAGGATCTCCATCTGCCGGGCCAGCAGGCGCTCCAGCTGCATCTGATGGACCCGAAGAAGAAGAATTACAGCAGCGCTTTGCACTGTGGCGTCTGAGGAAAGTAGGAGCTCTTATTGTGAAACAGGAAGCTGCTCCTGTTTAAATCCCTTTTCCTCTAATTCATCTGTTGCTCAGAGGTTTCTTTCCGTTTTGTTCTCCGAGCTCTAAACTAAATAGTGGTGCTAAATACTACAAAATAAAAGACCTGTAGAGTGGCCCTTTTTATCCTCACAGCTGTAAAGGGAACCTCCTTTAACAGGGAGAGAGAAAGCGTCTTATTGTCGGTCTGCACACTGCACCCACGCTACCTTCTCTGATCAGGCCATACGCCTTCCTTTTATTGAGGGACATAATCAGTCCATCAATCAATGCGGTTACCTGCAGATTGCGCCCCACGGTCTCTTCTCCTTTGGACTTGGCGCAGGCCAGCTGCTCCCTCAGCATCTCCTGCCTCATGTGGATGGCCTGCAGCGCCTCCTGGATGTCGAAGAAGTTCTCCTGGAGGGAGAGAAGCCCCCACTAGTGGTTAGTGTGTCTCGTCTTCATCTGCTTCCTCCTCTTGCGTCTGTTGTAAAAGGTGTTGGATGAATAAATACTGTGGACTCTGGTCCTAAATGAGTCCTCGGGGAGTTTCTGTGAGCAGGTGTCGGCCCTTTTGTCTCCACTAGAATCCCTGCCGGAGTTCCTCGGCCGCCACATGTTTCCCATCATGAGCGAACTGAGAGGAGCTTTCAGAGGAGATGAGAGGGGTCTTTGTCCTCTCCGGGTCCCACGGACAAATACACTCTTCAAACATCGAGACCTTTCTCAGAGCAGGCAGCCGTCAGGCGGCCTCCATCGGATGCTATACAACTATAAAAAGAAGAAGAATATTCTTGTGATCTTACCTCTGTTTTAATCCTCTTAGGGGACGCCTCGTCTCTGTCTCCGCAGCGAGACCTGCACTCACACCAGCAGAGACACAGTAAGTCTAAGAGACCTAAATGCTCCAAAACAAGGGCTGCCAGTCAGCGCCGCGTGTTGCTTCCTCATTGGATGGAGGCGGCGTGACTCACTTGCTGGTGCGGTAGGTGTATTTGTACGTGACCTCTCTGGAGATCTGCCGGGCGAGTCCAAAGAGCTCGTCCCGCCGCGTGAGCAGCGCCGTGTCCCTCATGCACAGCTGGGCCGCCGCCTCGTTCACCGTCAGCTGCACGTCACACAGACAAGACAGACACGGGCGTGACCCCTCGGTGACCCCGGGCCGCGTGGTTGCGCGGTGGCGGCGGGCTCCTACCTCGTGCAGCGTCAGGTGTTTGCCGTCCCTCCTCTTGGAGTCGAAGCGGCCGTAGATGGCGCTGTACTTGCGGATCTCCTCCTCCCGCCGCGGCTCCTCCTCGCTCATTTCGAAGATGTGCCCGATCATCTTCGCCAGTTTCTTGTTGTTCTTCAGCTGCTCTCTGACCTCGGACAGGTCGGCCTTGGGGAGCCCCGGCGCCATCCGGTCCACGCACTCCACGACCGACTGGACGGCGGCGGCGTCCAGGTCTCCAGCGTGTCCCGCGGCGAGGACGGCGAGCCCAGGTCCGACGGCGACAGGCTGTGCTCGCTGTCGTTGCTGTGGCCCGACCAGACCGGGCCTCGCTGCCGCCCTGCAGGAGCGAGCCGGCCGACGCTTTGTCCCGCGCCACGTCCAGCTTCCCCGGGTCGGAGGAGGCGCCGCCGCCGTCCTTGGGCATCTTGACGCCGGCGCTGCTGGCCCGGTCCTGCGCGCCCAGCAGCGCGGGCGAGCCCTCGGGCAGCTTGTAGACGGGGATGCTGCAGACGGGCAGCGAGGTGAGCGGCTGGTTGAAGATGGCCGGGTTGGTGACCCAGTCCCGCAGCGCCTTCTGCAGGCGCCGCACGTGCAGCGGCTTGCTGGCCATCCCCACCAGGGCCATGATCTCCAGGAACTCCTCCTCCCCGGCCTCGCACAGCTGCTGCACGTCGTCGCCGCCCTGCTGGATGAAGGCCTCGTAGTAGTAGAGCAGGTTGGCTCGCTGCAGGATCCGGTAGAGCTGCAGCTCACCCAGCGTCCTCGGCAACACCGCCGCCATGCCTGAGGAGGAGGAGGGGAGGGGGGGGGGGGTTAGCATGAGAAGACCACAGTCCAGCACACCGACATGCAGGCACGTTATTTCGTGACTTATATATCTGGACTGATGTTCTCAGCGGGTGCGAGGCTGCAGTTTATCGGCTCCCAGCAGGTCCAATTAGATGAAGAAGGAGGTCCGGCCACTGGACTGAGCGGTGCAGGTAGAAACCTGCGAGGTCATCTCCGTCCCCTCAGGGGAGCTGTTTGTGTTCCATGAGTGGGATAAAGACACGGTACGACACCCGGTGTGGTGCTTGCGCTCAAGGCTCATTATTTTGCATACTTCTTCTCCCTGAAGGCAAATGATGTTTGACGTGCAGAATGAACCTTTCGCTGTGCGACGCGTCCAACTTGCAGATATTTCCTCCCTGCAGTCGCCACGCGAACACACTCGGCCAAATCCGTGCCGCTTGCCGGCTTTAACCGGAGCGAGAGGCCTCTCCTCCACGCTTCCTTTGTGCATACGAGGCCCTGCGGAGGCCCGGCTCACAGAGGAGTGGCAGTCAGCAGACCCGGCTCGCTGGGAGGACCACATGCCTCTCTCCACCCCTGCAGGATGTGTAGGTGGTGGGCTCGCCTCGCCCAGAATAGGCCCGGGGAGCCGGGCGGGCCTCGGCTGAGTCGGGAGGCTGACGACCGCTGGCCGAGCGAGGGCGCTGGGTGAAACCAAATGGCGGCGAGGTTCACTCAGAGACCATCTCTGCTGTGTGAGGTGACCTCCACAGCTGCTGACCTTTCACCCCTCAAGGAGGTGCGCAAAAGGAGATTTTTAAACGCCACTAAAGAGTAAATCTAGGATTACGGTACGACAACACACACGATGCCCTTTCATCTCTGTGGAAATGATCATAAATGAGCGACTCAACACCCGAGCACATCTGGAATACAGCAGCTGGACAGTGAGGCTGCACGTGGAACAACATGTTCTATGAACCAGAACCACCTGCTGAGGTTCCACAGCGCAAACAAAGTCAGAGAGAGATGAGGGGAAACATCATCATGGCAGCAGCAGGAAGCTCAATGACGCATTAACGGAAAATCTGATTCGACTTTATCTCCTGGAATATGACGAGAATGTCGTTTATTAAAGCTGCCGAGAAGACGTTCTGCACCCAAATAGAGAGATGAAGAAGATACGAAGGAAGCAAGAAGCTCAAAATGAACTTAAAGTTAAGTTCCTTAAATCAAAGGTGGAATATGCAGCAATGGAAGAAGTATTCAGATCATTTACTTAGTAAAAGTATCGAGGACACGGAGGGGAAATACTTCATTGGAAGTAAAAGTCCTGCAATGAAAATGTACAAAAATGTGTTATAGAGAACTTTTTTCATGGGATGTGGAGGATCGTTTTCTTAAGTGCTCCTGGTTAGTTTCACATAGTGTAACTAAAGCGTAGAAAAGTATGAAGTGGATCGTCTGTATTTTCCCCCCAACATGAGTTATGTTTCTCTGTTTAGCGGTCGGGGACAACGTGGAGTGCTGCAGGTGAAAGATGGAGCTGAATCAGAGAATAATATGACGACTGCCTCTCCGATTGAGTCATTATCAGTCGTTTATCAAGCGGGAGCGTCGTGCCGTAGCTGAATATATTTGTTGCTTTCAGCCGTTTATACCACAGTGCAGCGAACAGAGGTGGCTTCTTTTGTCACGGGAGGTGTTTGCTGCTGGTTTTTCACAATAAAGCGCGAGCGTGTGAATTGAATATCTATATTTAGCTGCAGTGTGAACGTCTGTGTGTGCAGCAGGTGATGAAACGCTCCGTCAGTATCAGGGAGACTCCTCTGACCAAACAGCTTCAATGTCTAAACACACACGTCCGACTCCCTACTGCGTGTGCGTGCGTGTGCGTGCGTGTGCGTGCGTGTGATCTGGCGTGATGGTGGACTCCTGAAGGAAATCCTGCTTCCCCAAAGCCAGTTGGGCGAGTTTGGCTTTTCACCTGGAGAAGCGAGGCGTGTGCCGGCACAATGGCACACGCACCAACACGCACGTCCACGCGCACAGGATGGCGTGTAGTTTTCCAGGTGAACTGCAGCCGACCGGGTTTATCTAAAGTGACCTGTGCTTGGATTTCACTGTGATTCAGACGGAATCTTTCTGTCAATCACTTTTCCTGGTGTGTGTGTGTGTGTGTGTGTGCGTGTGTTTGAGTGAGTGTTACAGATGTGACATAAAGGATCCAAGCAGTTGACAAAAACACCAAAGCCTTTAAAATAAAGCATCTCGTTATAATAATTCCATATTATTCTCAGTGGCAGCGGTTTATGTCACTTTACCTCCTTAATATTACCACATAATATACATTCAGCATGCACGTGATTGTTATAGAATTAATTTGGCAGTTTGTATAATAAGATAATTCAATCTCTTAATCACGTGTTTGATCTCAGACTACATGAATGTCACAAGATGTTTGCGCAATGGGACGAAGTTATGAATTAACGGATTGGATCCGTGTGATTGTGCCCACCTGGGGAGTTTCGGTCCGGTTCTTCTTCTGGTCCACGCAGCGCCGGCTGGGTGCGCGCAGAGGACGAAGCGCGCACAGGAGCGATGATGCCGCGAGGACACAGCGCGCGCGTAAAACCACAGATGATCTAAAATTTAAAAAAAAAGGGAGAATTAGAAAAATTATTCCCCGGACAGAAAGAGATCCGGAGAGCGCGTGCTTGTGTGCGCGCGCGCGCGCTCAAACGGAGAAACGCTCGTCTCCTCTTTTTCTCCTTCTGGAAACTTTCTCCTGCCGCCGAGAGACGAGAGACAAAAGACGAGAGACGAGAGACAGAAGCGCAGAATAGAAAAACAAGCCGCTGACCTTCGTGCGTCTTTTGCTGCGTCTTTCTCCTCCAAGTGTGTGTGAGTGTGTGTTGAGTGTGTGAGCGTGTGTTCGAGTCCTCTCCCAGCGTCTCTCTCCACTCCCTTGCACTGTTTACCACCAGCAAGCCGCCGTCACACACACACACACACACTTCCGGCTGCAGTAAGAGAATAAAAGCACCGCCGATGAGCACGTTTTTGGATGTGTATTTGCATGATATATTAGATAAAGGTGTAGAGATATGCCAATTATATTCAAAGTGTAGATTTTCCTGCACAGACGCAACATTTATTCATCCCGAAGTTTGCTTCTTAATTTCATTTTTAAGTAAAAGTAGCAACAACTCAACTACAATTAACTCATTAAAGATCGACGCCTTTTATCATTAAATGGCACCCAAAATGCATCACATTTTCTGCACTGAGCATATATTCTGGAATGTGAAATTTGTCCAAGTAAGTATGCAACAATACTTATGATCTGTTGGTTAATACAATTATTTTGACGGTCTTTGTACTTATTAATACACATTTCAGAGGCAATGGTTGTACTTTTTCTGTACTATTTGTATAGGTTACATATTACAAAAAATACCGTTAAAGATGCATTTGTAATACTTATTTTCATTATTTTGTGTGATTTTTTACGGAACATTAATTTAGTCAAAATGATATCAAATCACATGTGTGCTTTTATTTTGTCACAGCTTCCTGTTTCTGCAGCGTCTTCACCACAGGAAGCTTCACTTGCGTAAATAATGAAGATAATAAAGTGGGATATTCCGCGCGGTTACCAGAGTCTCTCTCCCCCTCTCTGTCTCTCAC